AATAATGAATATTTCTGTTTAACGAATAGCGTTTTCTTCTTAAAAGTGGAGTCACTACGGACTGACATTATGACTAAGACATCAGCCAATCGTAATGCATTCAAACGTAAAAACTGATGGGTTCGACATGTCTGATAATGCAAAATACGTCTCGATTGAACAGCGCATAGCCAGGTTATCGACTGCTAGTTTAAACAATACCGTACACAAAAAGGGGGATAAACCCAAGTAATAGCACAAGAATTACATGCTCCGAACTGCGAAGGAAGAATCCTGGAGTACTCATGTCGTCTACATATCCAAGGATCCATTATTTCCGCCTATTTCACATTTCAGTCTTATATCCATTTGATCAAGACGTTGTATTGTTCAATAATACAATTTGTGTACTAGACCATCAATTCTTTCTTCTCTGCATGCAGTGATTGCTTTAAACCACTGCTCTTTGGAGATTCAGCTTCAGCCGTTCGATTCCTAGATATACCATTTAAATGTATCCTGTCATGTGTGGTTGCTCGGAGTCGCGATTTTCTATGGACACCACTACAGGCTAATAATGTTCCCGTCACTAACCGTAATATCTCCAGGAATCACAGACAGAGCAGAAGATTAAGTCCAGAAAAGGAAATGTATTTGCTGGCGATTCCGTGGTATCGAAGGAATACCAAAATCATGCCAGAGAAAAAGGGCAAAGTTACAACGAGCAGTATAACCTAAATGGCGGCAACAAAAACAGAAAGTTTGTGCGTACATAGTACGAATAAACAAACAGTAAAGTAAAACAATCACTAGTGCAATTGGTTATCATAATAAATGTTTCCATTTAACCATTCGCGTTTTCTTCATAAAAGTGGAGTCACTACAAATGTCGGCAAATAGGCGGAATTTGCATTGTAACCGCTCGAGAGTGTAACTTAGTCAAAATTTCCAAAATTAGTATACATCTGTATGGATTTAACGTGTCTGTGTTAGTTGTTAGAGTAAAATACAATGGAAACTATCTGAATTGACCTTTAAATTAAATTGCCTATAATTATCTGTAGGATATCAGCCATCTTTGTCTTATTCAGTAGTTATGTGCAATAGTAATGTCTATGGTAGATGCTTCTCAGATCTACCACATGGTTTAATTTATCGTTAGTCGTTTGTAGTTTTTTACAAGCTATTCAGCTTTATTTCACTATGTACTTGCGTAATTACAGTACATATATATCTATAGGCAACTCTACATCAGTCCCTAAGTAGTGTAATACATACTAACAGTGTTGTATGTGATTCAGTGTGTGGCTTTGAGTATAAAATCGGAAAAAAGATCTGATTAATAATATCTGGTTATCGAAATTTTTACCAGTGACATTAAATGGTGAGAATAATCCTCGAATTAACACACTTATAATGCATTTCGTTCCCTAACTCGTTTAATCATCCTTAAGTTTTAATCCTATGTCATACTGATCACTGATTTAATTCACATCATATCATATCGATGTTAGATAATAGCTGATGATCGTGGCTACAGATGTCTCCAAATAGAATTCTCTCTTTATGTTGACTTGTTTTCCAACTAATATTCTACTTCGATCAATAATATTTTGAACAGAAAAGCGTAAACAATTTCGAACGTTTGTTATAGTCTTAATTTGAAAATAGCAGTGTTCTCTTTGACGAAATGATGCGATTTGTTGTAACAAACAAAATGTGACGCATCAAAAATAACAGTATTCCTGATAATTCAATATTCAATCCCTGTGATTTCGTTGCTATTGACTATTCAAGTCACCTTAGGCGGGTTTATTCAGTTTGAATAAATTTCGTTTTTGAAGTTAACTAATTGAATATTATAGTTATTAGTTTTACTATCCAAACTGTATGTTTCATCAGAATTGATGTGTAGTAATGAAAACAAATTGTGATTGGTCATTAAGTGTAGACAAACAGACATTTAGTCGACTGATTAATTTAAATATGTGATTCCACTTCGTCTTATTGATTTTTTATCCAAACTCACTGAGTGCAGACTGCTTGTCTTTGTGTTATGAAATAAAATATTGTCTACCGCTTACACTTTGGTTAGCGCTTTTTAGCGAGTTAGTTTTCTACAAGATCGGATCGCTAACCCTATGCCCAATCCTTTATTTGGGCTTGAGACCAGCAGTAGTCCCAGAGGGACTCCAATCGGAGTTGCTTATACTCTATTTTTATATTTTGATTGTGACTGGTGCATCTGGTTTGATGTGATCTAGTTTCAGTATATAAATTGAAAATTTTACGAAATAATCAAACCAGTAAAAATGTTAAAACAATAAAAGATGTTGAATTGGGTGTAATTTGTATGTGTTTTGAAAAGTAAATTAACTTTTGTAACAGTTAAGTTGACTGATTATGTATCAGAAGTTGAAAACAGATTATTTCTTGTGAGCAGATCAATTAAGATGTCTTCTCATTGTTTGAACAAACTTTTTTTTTGAAAAAGGAACCCAACTGATTTTTTAATAGCAGAATTTAATCAAATTAAAAGTCAATAATGTACAGTTTCAATTGTTTACAAATAATTTAAGATAAACATTAAAAGAAACACATGTTATAGGTTCAATGTTCATTACTGTAAAAAAAACAATGCAGACGTCCATTTTTACTTTGAGTGATACACATCAATAAAGAAATCGATGCATCTCTTTAAAAAAAGATTATAACTCCCATTAAAAACCTAGAAGCACTGGACGGCCATTTCGTCCTGGTATGGAACTCATCAGCAGAGCACATGTACGACTTCTGCTACTCTCAGGATTCAAATCCAGGATCTTCAGTCTTCAGCACAAACATCTAACCGTTGGACCTTACTTATGCCTGTTACCCCGAATGAAGCATAGGTTTCCAACCAGAATTCTTTAACTAACTCTGTCCTGGAACTTCCTTTCCAGTTCTATCCAATTGCTGCTCATTCTTTTCATGTAGGCTTACAATTATTGGTGTATTATGTTCTTTGGTCTTCCTCTTTTCATTTAGCCCTGAGGATTCCAAGTGAAGGCTTGCCTTGTGTCGTAGATGGGTACATTCTGCAATCTGTTCCCTATCCACTTACAGGGCTTCTTCCGGAATTTCTTCATCAGCTGGAGAAATCTGGTTTTTCCTCTTTCACAGTGGCTTGTTGCTGATTGTGTCTGACCAACGGATCCACATTATTTTGCGTACAAAATTGTTAATAAACACATGTATCTTTTGAGTGGTGGTTTTCATAGTTCTCTGAGTTTTCGCCCTTTAATAAACACTGTTACCATTGATTTGAATGAAATCAAACTAGGAGACGCTAATGGTTTCAAATACATCCATAATTAAAACGTTCATCAATTAAAGTAGTCTGATTGAACCCATGAACTGATCAAAGTAAGCCTAAAATTTGAAATGTACAAGCACTGGATAACCGTTTTGTCCTGGTATGAGCTTCATGATTGGGAGTCAAATCTGGGACCCTTGTTATCGCACTTCATGAGGAAACTCTCAAAATTTCAGTGACAGCTGCTACTTGTACAGTTTAACTGTATCCAGTGTGAAGCAGTTATTCGCCAAAGACAAAAGATGATGGTCGCTCAGCATCGTGGATTCATTCAATTTACACATTGAAATTGTTGGATGCCAAGTGAGTGATCAAGCATTCGCATGCAGGGGTCTTGAATGTGCACTTCTGATAAGTCCCATACTATGATGAAGTGGCCGCCCCGTGCTTCCACGTTTTCAATAGTGGTCTAACATTGATCGATTCAGGATTTAAATAGAACTCAATAATCTCGATGTTCCTATACTGACAATTTAGATAACCATTTTAGGATAAAAAAATTAATCATTTACTTACTTATTTATTTTATTACTTACGACTTTACGTAGAAATCACAAATAAGTCCTAATGCTTCATTTTAATATGTATCATGTTAGAGTTACACTGGATAAATCGAATGTACCTAGACGATTTACACGTCATAGATGAATTACATCTTCCATCACACACTTACACACCGACAAACGCAGGTTATGCCGATCAGTGTAACAGCAGCCTCTGCAACAGTATGTCTCAACGTACACAAGGAAAAAAGCAAGATCACTAGATACAATACAGCATGCGCCAACAAAATCACACTTGATGGATGGATGTGAAAACATAGACATACCTGGACAGTATCACTGATCAACAAGATGGATCTGATGTCATGACAAGGCGAAGTCAACATGAATACAATCGAATATCAATTGGAAGTTAAAACAACTGCTAACCAACATAAAAGTCACAATTTTCAGCAAGAACCGCAAAATCATTCTACTGTATAATAAGGAAACTTGGAGAACTATCAAAGCCACCACCCACAAGATATAGGTCTTTAGTTGCAGTTGTGTACACAAGATACTTCGGATCCATCGGCCAAACACTATCAGAAACACCTACTGTCGGACAGAACAAATCAGATTCCAACTAAGGAATAAATCAGGAATAAGCAATCCTCATCAGTTATTTCTTATTTGATAACTGAATTGTATTTACACTATTCTGCTTAATTATTTTGATTTCCATGTACATTTTTCTAATCAGTTGTCGATCGATTCTGTCTTATCTGTCATAGACATTTCAGTATTGTAATCAGTATAGTACATGGATTATTCGACACGAATGAATTTACTTAAAACCAATCAGAAAAAAGAAACATCTAAACACTAAATCAACTTACTATAGTGTATTTGCACTAATTTCACTTACCGAATGAATTAACTTATTCAAAATTCAACTTTTCTTGTTTACTCATAATACTTCTTTTTTCAAAAAAAACCTTTCAATTAAACATCGTTTTTAATCATTTTCTTCCTACTGACTCCATATACATAAGCATAGAATTTACAGACACACCTATAATAAATAAATTTTAAATTGTGTTCAATGGTTCAATTTAAAAATTAAAACAAACTATAAAATAGAAGTTAAATTTCAATCATATCGGTTTATGATTGTTTCTTAAATGATGTTAATTTTAAATCAGATTATTTTCATTCATATATTCACTGTGTTCTATGTGGATTCACGCTTAACACATGATGAAGAAATTTTATATAATGAACATATAAATAGTCGAAGATTGCTATTAAACTGCCGAATTCCCGGTCAACCGAGACCAATTTATCACAAGGGGGAATTGGTAAGTAGATTCTTAATGATATTATAACAACAGTGAGAATTGTGGGGATTGTTGAGTACTTTTTTTAGTGAAATTATGAAAATCGATTATTTTTTTGGTCACTATTAGAAACATGGAAGCACAAGACAGTCATTTTGTCATCCTAGTTTAAGACTCATCAGTGGCATTGCGCATCTACGAACTCTGCTCGCGCGAATCGAACTCAAACCCTTCGATCTCGTATGCTTTTAGTCATCATCATATACTACTTATAAGTAGCGCGCACCACACTGGTTACGGTTGGTAATTCTACTTCACATCCAAAAGGGTTAGAATCTATTGCTTCAGGCTCTTTACTAAAACTGGGAGAATTCTCTCATCAATATAATCACTAGTGAGCACGTTATTATGGTTTTCATCATTCATGGAAATAAATATCCTTTGGTTGTTAAAGATTCTCGCCTTATTTATTCAGAACTAATAGTGATAAGTAATTTTTTAATGAAAATTAACGATAGAATTGTAGGGATTGTTGACTGTTTCTATCGAAATCATGAATCGATTGTCGTCAGGTCAGAATTAGATGCCTGAAAATAATGAATGGATTATTTTTGTCGTTTATAATGAAAATCATACAATTTGTGCTCGTTTGTGACTACCTTCATTGTGGGGATGTTCACAGTTCTAGTAAACAGCTGGAACCAATGGATTTCTATTCTTTCATCTGCGAAGCAATTACCGACGGAAACCAGTGGATGAGATCACACAATATCGTGGATTGACTTAAGTTAGACATTAACAACGTTAGAATCCGGCTCACTAGTTCATAGGTTATGCATTCTTGCACGAGACTCAAGGATCTGGGTTTGATTCTCTAGAGCGGGAGTCGTGAATTCTCAATATCACTGATAAATCAGCCCCATACCAAGACGAAATGACTGTCTAATGCTTCCTGGTTTCTGATGGTGGTCTAACATAATTGATCGATTCACGATTTCAAACAAAACATAGTAACTCAACAATCTTCACAAATCCGTAATGTTCATTATCCTGGGAGATCACTATGTAAAAACACCTTATGTCATCTATTGAAAACATCCTTAGGATTTAGCTACATCATTAAATCCTTCAGGCGACAGTATTACAGACTGAATCAACTTACACTCATCGTTTGAGTGTTCAAAGAATTGTTTGAGTTTGAAGAAGATGTGTATATTGAAAGAATTTATTATTCAAAGTTACGGAAATTAGTGTTTTACACAATGAAATCATCAACTAATCAATCAGTCATTGTTAGATCACCATCATTAGAAACCTGAAAGCACTAGACGGCAGTTTCGTCCTGGTATGAGACTCACCAGTGGCAGTGCACATCCACAACTCTTGCACCTAGCAGGATTCGGACCTTGGAGCTTCAGTGTTGTTCACGAACACCTAACCTCTGGACCACTGGACTGGCATCCAACGGTATTATTGACTAACTCTGATTGATCTAGAGATTTTGCGCAACCTCATCTATTTGTCGTCGGTAGTTACTGCCTACACTCGACAGGGATGAACTCTACTGGTCACATTTTGACTTTAGAATGAATTCTATTTGTTTTTATATATTTCACACAAATATACATTCATATTTCATATTCCAAAGTATTGGGATGAAGAATTGGCAAGCCTAGCAGGTAGACAAGCAGAAGCATGTGATTTGAATACTGAATACAGGAAAACTGAAGTGAAAAAAGAATATGGCGATACAATTGAGATAAATACAGCGGATAATAACGAGGTTAAAAAGTAATTTTAATTAAGCATCAGAAAAATATTCCAAATTATTCTACCTCCTTTTTCCCATCAAAAAAATAGTGCTGTAAAATCATGGTTTAATGAACATGCATTGTATAATTTCAAAAGGAATCAATGTCAAGTTCGTGGGGATTGTTTACATTATAAAAAAGTAAGTGAATTTTCGTTGATAAAAAAATTTAACTAAAATAAACAACAAATTAAAGCTTATTGTTTGAAATGATTGAGAAAATTTGGGATTTAGTTCTGAGAGTTAAGATGAAAGCCAGTCTTTTATTCTGTTGAAAAGTGTTTATTTCGTTTTACTATTTAGAGGTGAATCAAATGGTTTCATATTAACTTACTTACTTACGCCTGTTAACCCCAATTGAGCATAAGCCGCCCACCAGTTTTCTCCAACCAACTCTGTCCTAGGCTTCCCTTTCCAGTTCTTTCCAGTTTTTGTTCATTCTTCTCATATCTTTCTCTATTTACCCGGCGTAACGTGTTCCTTGGCCTTCCTCTTTTCCTTTTACCTTGAGGGTTCCAATTGAGGGCTTGTCCTGTGACGCAGTTGGGTTTAATCTTAATGTAGTGAGCGAGAACCACACTCGTCCCCCCTATTTTTAAGCTGTCATCACTTTCAAAACAGGGACCCTGGTCAGTTATTATCACCTTACGTATTCCGTGACGCGCTACACTATGCCGGATTACCACTTCGGTCATTGTTCTTGCCCGCTGGTCTGGAATGGGTACGGCTTCTATCCAACGTGTAGCGTTTACTAGTTCCCGCTGCTGTGACACGGCTGCAGGCACATTCTCGATAAATTGCAACAACTTTGCTCCCGACTCCCCATCCATACTCGGCAGCGTACGGCGCGGCAACATCGTGAGCTCCACGGCCAGCACCAACGGGTCACCATCAGCCGACAGCCTCGCCAACCGGAACCTCTGCGGCGCCTCCTCCCTGTCCACTGGGCTGTCGAACTCCGTCATCAGCCGCCCGGTGACCGTCTCCCACGCCGTCTTCCCGACGGCACTGTCCAGACTGACGTGTACCGCCTTCGCCTTACCTCCCCGCACCGTCTCCATCACCGCCAACTCCGCCCTGGGCCCCCACCAGCTCCACCGCGGCCTCAACTCCTCCAGGAATCTCCGCAAATCTCCGTCCTCCAACTCTTTTTGCCACGGGAGCTCCTGCCTCTGAGCAGGCAGCGACACCAAATGTAGTGAAGGAGAACACAGGTGTGGCAACCGGATTGCATTAAACGAAAATACAGAGTTACTCAGTAAAATAGGAAAACCATATCGTAAATCGTTAATTTGCAAAATATCAGTCCATCATATCGAACTGGACTGTTCCTGTTGCAAAACATCAATCCATTGTCACTTTTCATGTGTTTCATACAAATTCCATTGTGTTCTAACTCTTCCTTTCTTGATCTTCCCACATCTTCCGCTGCCAGACATTTCGTTGACACTCACGTCATATACTGCTTATAAGTAGCTCGCACCACATTAAGACAGCTACTAAAGGCAGTCATAGGGAAAGCATACGACTCTGCTAAACTGATTATCATTCAAAAGACTAAGCTCATGGTTCCACATAGGCCTAGACATTGCTCGAACGGTAACATCACATCCGATTGGATTAATCAGTTTACATGTTCGGGTTTGTGGACATATATACATACATAGAGAGGAGTAATAGGACTTTGCAATCAAGGATTATGGAAGATGTATCTAAGTGGTGTCAAACCCGGTTAACTTCCCATGACACCCTATAAATGTGGGATATTGAAAAACCATGTTCACATCAATGGCAAAACACATAACTGAGACAGGGCATAAGATTGACATCAAGACAGCTTTTAAAGTATTGTATAAGAATGTTAAAGGACAAATTTTGAAGTTTTTGGAAGCTTTGGCTATTCGTGAATGAAAACCACCCATTTATGTGTACAGAAATCGTTTGTCGTAGCCTTGAATTCACCCGGGTCCTCTTTAAAAACATTTTATAGCCTTGGGGAATGTGACACTTTCCTACCCTTTCTTATTATTTCTATATTACGTAGATTTTCTCTCGCCTTCATTTACAATTTTCACCTTGTGTCTATCTGAACTTTGATTTCACTGACCTTTTATTAACTTTCGTATAAGATGTCTTGACAAGTGTATATATATATGTGACCCGACTGTTCGAAATGTATATAGCACGCGAATACTTTACAACATTTTTCAGATCACCCATGTATTCTCGTTATTATTCTATCAAACTATATATATAAGGGACTAACTGTTTTTGAATAAATTTTTCGATACTTAAACTGAAAGTTACTTAAATCATTAAACCCAACATCGTATCAAGTGTCTATTCAATGGACAGATCTTTTCAAAATGACAAAGAAATGAACAAATAATTAGAATGAATGATTTTGGATAAAAATTTATGCCACTTAAATTCCATCCGACTACCTTAACAATTTATCTCAGGTATAATGACTTTTTTTCTGGTTAGCGAATTTTCATGGAGTTAGTTTTTTAATGGGTGGGTTCACAAACCCAACGACCAACCTTTCTCCTTTATCCGGGCTTGGGACCGGTAGTAGCCCCAGAGAGGGGCTCCAGAAGAAGTTATTTCAAGTACAAATTGTCAATGAAAAATCAGCATAACTGTTTAAGTCAATTCAACAAGTTTACGACCGTAACTTTCCGACGTCCTGATATGGAACTGTTCATCAAAGCACTGAATTGATTCCTTGAAGAATCACACTCGAAATAACTTGGTCCCGTGGAGAGCATTAAGTTATTCGGCATAAAATGGTTCAACGATGTTCAATCATCCAAACATTAGCAGATAATTAATCCTTTTTACTGTGGAACTCCTAAGCTGTGTGCACATGTAACTCAGGAAGACTCAAAATAATGATTTTTTTTCCAAGCAATTTTCTTCTATGACAAACGTTTTTACACATTGAAATCATCAATCAATCAATCATTATTAGACTACCATTAGGAACTTGAAAGCACTGGATGGGCGTTTTGTCCTGATATTGGACTCATCAGCAGTGAGCATCCACGACTTCTGCACCTTCGGTTTTGCACGTGAACGTCTAACCTCTGGACCACGGGGCCGGCATCCAACGGTGTTAATGTCTAACTCTGATTGATCTGCAGATTTTGCGTGACCTCACCCATTTGTCTTTGCTGGATATTGTCTACAATAATTGCTGGACTGATAAATTCAGTGTGTGAAATAACTAATCTCCATAAGTTTAACCGAAAAAATTTTTCTGAAACAATTTTTTACCAACTCTACAGATGGTGTCAAGTGAAGCTGAATTCATAGGTTGTGCTGTCGGGAGATGCGGACATTATACTCAAGTCGAATCAGGTCAAATAATCGTATGTTATTATTCACCAATGTAAGTTTATTTATATGCCTAGTAAATAGAAAACTGTGATTGGTCATCCAGCGTGGATAAACAGTTACTTAGTTTATTGACTGCATGTGATTTCTTTTCCGATGATCGATTTATACTCTGGACTAATTGAAAGTGACTGCTTGTAGTGATATGACCTAATATCTGTGTCGCGTACCTTTTGAGTGTCTAATTCAGAGGTAGTCTAAACTCGATGAATGTCATGTGTGTATAGAATGAATAAGTGACTCAATGTACATTAATAAAGACGACATATTCATTGCATACATTAGTAAAGATATTAGACATGTGACATTGTGAGGTAGTGAAGAAAATTTGTAGCTCAGGTGGATGAAGTTTCATTCTTTGAGTTGCAATTATTTTTTTAGAAGTTTTGCACTCAGGTTGATCAGCATTCATTAGACAAATTGAAATCGACCCAGTTTATCACTCAATCAGAATACTCATGAACAAATATAGGAACAAGTATCTGATCAAAGAGGGATACAATCGAAAGAAATTGGCTGAAAGGTCAACAATAAACAAGCAAGAGCAAGGGCGACAGGACAATCTAGGAGCTATGTATGAAGAAATTCAATTCTATCTGACGTTTGTTCTGATTCTGTTGTTGTTCAGAGGAACACCGAAATTTCCACAATCAAACTAGTGATAACCTAGTAAAACACAGAACTTATAAGAATAGTTTAAATGCTTGACTTGTTAGAACAACATCTATATGATGTTGTAGTGTTCAGTTATGAAGTGCAATATTGTAAATTGAATTGAATACTTGAACGAACTCATTGTTCATTGAATCAAACGTTTCATTCATATGTATTTACCGCTTGAATCTTTCCATTGATAGTTAAAACCGATATTGCTCAATCTCATTCAGCATTTGTACATCCTGTGTGAATAGAACTCTATATAACCATTACATTAAATACAGTTTAAGCAGAAACGTATATTGGTTAGCACTGGAATCCAGGATGCGTGTTTCGTCCTGTTTATAAATTATCAACTGGATGTATCTGTATCTCACACAGTTATTTAAACCTTTGATCATTACATGATGAGCGTAAAAATGAATCAAATCATTTCGCTACCCATTGTCATGATTTTATGTCTTCGTTATGCCTAATTGACTAATGCCTGCTAATATAACACCGAACTTAACAACAAGTAATCAGTACACAAATACTAGTTATGTAAGATTTGATAAAAATCATGAATCGAATAATGTTAGACCACAAGTAGATATTTGAAAGCTCTGGACTGCCGTTTCATTCTAGTATGCGGCTCATCAGTGGTAATGAGCACTCACGACTCCAAACGCGGGAATCGAACACAGAATATTCAGGATCGTGCTCAAATACTTAACCTCTAGACCATTGAGCCAGCTGATGAATCCTATACTAGCACGAAACTGCCATGTTCTACTTCCAGGTTTATTTCTAATATTAGTCTAAAATTGATCGATTCATCATTTCAATCAAACTCAACAATCTCCACACGTTCATTATGAAAAGTGTATGTATTATTTATTGACCCAAGAAATCAATCAACATGATAAATGTATATTTGTATAAACATTACTTATGACGTGATTACCTACAGTCAGATTTGTATGATCAAAGATGAATTCTACTTAACATCAAATAATTCATAAATTTTTTGTGTGAACTTATTCACCATATCATAAAAATCAATATTTATATTGCACATTGAAATCAACAATCAGTCATTGTTA